GCCCCACCCTCCTGATGGGTAGAGACCTTCTGGCTCTCCAGCTAGGGGTGGCCATTAGGAGGGGCTTAGGTAAGTCCTCCTTGAGTGAAAATGTGGGCCTGATTGCAGCAAACTTGAGAGACTTCAGTTGCACAGAGACTGTCTTGTGGTAGTCATGACTCTGCACTCTCTAGCCATTGCATCCTGGTATAAACCAGACCCCTCCTTCCTAAACCGCTAACCCCTTGAAGGCTCTCCCTGCCGGGGCCCTGCATGGTGCCACACATGAGGCACTGTCATTGCATGCATCAGGCTGTGAATTAATCACTCCATGAGTGCTCCACAGGCTCAGGTTAGGCCCTGTCCCAGCTCTGTATTCCTCACACCTTGCATTCATTAAGTGAGGCTACGGAGTTGAAAAAAAAGGTGCTTGCAGACAGCCTTGAGACTGAGCTGAGAGCTTTCACATCCCAAACCAGAGACAGCTCAGGAAACAGAATGGAGGGAAGTGGAGATTCTGTTTGTAGGCTCTGCTCCCAGATCATCATTGTTCTCACCCCGCAAGGCCCTGGGCGGCAGAGCTGTCGCAAGCTGATGCATAGCCAGTGAGACCGCAGGAGAAGAGAAGTGGCACAGCTCAGCCCACTTTTCAAAGCTCCTGCCCAGGAACAATGATGTCACTTTTACTCACAGCTCATTGGCTAACGCAAGTCACATGGGCAGCCTGATAGCCACCACTCCCTCACCCCCACCCTGAGGAAAGGCAACCACTAATACAGACCACTAATACATTTGTCTCCTGGAGGGACCTTCTTAAATTGTCCTGTACACGTGCAGTCACACACAGATCGCCTGCAGATCATTTGGACCAGGAGCTGCTGTTTTAGCATGTGTGGAAAGGGGCCCAGCTTTAGCATTTCTGACAAGCTGCTGGCCACTGTCCGAGCATGGAGGAGCAAGGGTAAGGGCTGTGGAGTTTACTGGGCAAGTGGACACAGGCAACCTCCCCTTCTCCGCAGAGATAGGACTTGGCCTGTACCTCTGTCTGTCTTGTCGTGTTGTTGCAAACCAGGAGCAATGGCCCTGGCAGGTCAGAAGACACCATGACAATTCATTTAAGGTGGAGGTTGAACTTAGGCCACACAGCATCCTCATCAGCACTGGGGTGTACATACTTGAGGTGTGCACTCACTTACACGTGTGCTCACACATGACCCTTCTGTCCCACACAAGAGCAGACACACACACACACACACACACAAACGTCTGTTTCAGGACTGGATTCGTAGAAGCAGCAACCTTTGAGCTGGGGCTGAGAGGTGGGTTTCTGCAGCGGAGAAGAGAGGACAGGTCATTCTGAGGAAGTACTATGGAAAAGCATGAAATGATCCAAAAGGAAATTCACTCAACACAACCCAAGAAAACAGTGCTCAGAGAGAAAGGGAGAAGTCAGTCAGAAAATTGCAGGAGACATGAAAATGAGGAGATGCAGTGAAACCAACATAAAAGCCTGGCACATCCTACTGTGGGGCTAGCCAGAGGCCACCTCTCCTTGGTGTGGGGGAGGGTAGTGGCTCCAGCGATAATCAGACAAGATTGACCCTGTGAAGGTCATCGAGTCTGCCCCTGCATAGAGGGAGAGCCTCAAATGTTACATAACCCTGAGCCTGCGTATGCATGGGGCGTGGGACGGAGTGCAATAGAAGGGCCCTGGAAAAGACACTGCAAAGTGGAGCACACAGACAAGACCTGCAAAAACCAAGGGACAAGACCCATCACCCAAGGGACAAGAGGCGGCTATGATTCTTCCGGTTTTCTTGCCTGGTTTCCTTCACACATTTCTAACCTCCTGTGCCCCCTTTCAGACACAGGAGAAGCCAACAGTAACCTGAGCCTGCAGACAGGGCCGCGGAGGGCGCAGGACGCCTTGGCTGTCCGTTTGCCTGGCTCCTGTTAGTTAGTCCCACCTTAACTAGCACACAGGAGGGCAGCTGGTGGCTGTGGCTACTGCAGGCTCTAGACTGTTTATTTGGGAGTTTTAGGAGTGTGAAGTGTCTGCCATCTTGTGGTAGAGCAGTGCTACTGCCTGGGTGCCCACCTCCCAGCCTGCCAGGATGTGTAGGAAAGGCAACTTGTGAGGGCAGGGCTGGCGTTCATGGACACCAGCCGGCTTTGGGAGGTACGTTCTTCTCCATACCCGGTCCCAGGAAGCTTCTGAAGACAGCAGGTGTGAAAACGAGGTTACTGTTGGCTTCTCCTGTGACTTTGGGGATGCCAGCTGATTCCCCCAGGGCAATGTGTGGGGAAGGAGTTGTAACACTGCTGTGCTCAGAGCTGGAGCAGAGGTGAGCAACAGCTGGCCCTGAGCGAGAGGCACACAAGCAAGGGGACAGAGCACCTGTGCAACTGTGGCCCCTGGTGCTTCCAGCACAGTGGGGAAGCCTTTGAGGCCAAAACAGGAGCTACCTTAGAACAAGGAAGGGTGGAGTGGGTAGGTGGTGTGTGTGAGGGCAAAGAGCGAAGGGGCTGAGTGCACAGTGGGGAGGCTGGGTGTAGCCGGCCTGGATTCCAGACCCAGCGAGATGTGAATTCCATTGTCATTAGGAGTTGTCTGGATCTTGCTTTGGTGTTTGGGTACAGCCACAAGAGACGCAAGAGCTGAGAGATTGTTTTAAATCAAAGAAGCTCCCTGGTCCCTTTCCCTTGCCTTACCCAGGGCTGTAAAGACCTGCACTGGACTCCCCTTTCTGGAAGCTCCCAAATGCTGCCCACAGTGGCAGCACACCCCACAGGCCCTTCCCATAATCACCAAAACGTTCCATGTCAGTGGCAGAGCTGGTATCCTGATGCCTGTCTTCTTCACCTGCACCTGCTAAGAGAGAGTGTGTTACTTCAAACACACACACACACACACACACACACACACACACACACACACACACACACACACCATGGACCCATCCTACACTGGTAGTAAGGCTGCTTCTGGCTCTAAATATGGCCAGGCCAGCTGGCCCAGTCCCATTTCTCATTCTTGCTCTCATTTAAGAACCCAGAAACATCTCTGGTGCCAAAGGCTGCGCGAGCCAGGCTTCCGGCATGAACACAGGGAACAGCCGAGGCATTTGCAGCCGACTGGGTTCTGCAGAAGGAAGGCGGTGTTCACAGAGTCCTGGAAAGGCTGTAAGCGTGAAAATTAGGGACAGCAAGCACCAGCAGATTTCACAATACCACGAAGTTGCAGAAATTGCCAGAAATCATCACAGGATGACTTTTAGTGCCTGCCGCACAGCGCGAGAATGACTCCCAGGATGGCAGCCGGGAGAAGGAGTTGGCAGGGCCCCAGCTCTGCGCTCTGCAGATACCTGGGCGTCCTCCCAGCTGCGCCTTGCAAATAATACTTCCCTCCCCTCGCACAGCCTGCCAATTTCCTAAACACTCCTCTCTCTGGCAGCCTTCATTGTGTGATGCTTGCCAGCAACAAAATCCATGAGCTGTGGGCTGCAGGCTTCTGCCTCGGCAGTAGTGGGGTGAGCTGAGAACGCCCAGGACCAGACACAGCCCTCTGACACCCAATTTTTTTTTAAGGTTTATTGTATTTTTTATTGGAAAGGCAGATATATAGAGAGAAGGAAATACAGAAAAATCTTCTGTCTGCTGGTTCACTGCCCAAATGATTGCAACCGTCTGATTCAAGCTGGTCTAAATCCAGGAGTCAGGAGCTTCCTCCAGGTCTTCCACGTGGGTGCAGGGTCCCAAGGTTTTGGGCCATCCTCCACTGCTTTTCTAGGCCACAAACAGGGAGCTGGATGGGAAGTAGAGCAGTCAGGATACTAACCAGTGCCCATATTGGATCCTGGAGCATGTAAGGTGAGATTTTAGCCACTAGGCTACTGCACTGTGCCCCAACGCCCATTTTAAATCTGAATGACCATCAGGAGTCCTCCTGCCCTTAGCCAGTGTGAGGCCAGACTAACACGCAAAATCTTTGCGCAGTGTAGCCTACGGCAAACCCTCAATACTTGCTAGTTTATCAGGAAAAAAATGGCTGTAGCTGCCATGAGCAGGTACCCCGCATTCTCATTCCTTACCCCTATATTCTTGAAATTCCAATCTGTCAGCCCTGGTGAGGACCGCACCTGTCACTGTTCCCAGCCTTCTTGGCATCTAGAATTATCCCCTGGCTTCCCTCTGGGGCAGGGGGCCTGAAGGAGACTCTGGTGCAAGGCACCAGTTCCGAGGAGAAACGTGCAGCAGGGTCTTCCTGTAGGATTTACCGTGCCTGGCAGGCCTGAGGACTTCATCTCAGAAGGACCTGCAGACAGGTGCTGGACAGCTCCAGGCTGCACTCGGGGATGCTGGGGCTGAGTCCGGCACACCCTGCTCAGATTCCTCCAAGCAGCCAAGCAGCCAAGCAGCCAGGGAGGAGAGAGAATGAGGACACTGCTGAGATCCAAAAAGCAGAAGAACAAGGCTAAAACCCTCGGGGAGTGATGTCTGTTTCCTATTCTGTCTCCTGCCCCAAATAGCTCTGCTCTCCGCCCGCCCTCACTCGTTGGTGCTGATGTGTTTCTTCAGCAGCAGATGCCATCAGCACTCAAATTAGGTTGCACAGGGTGGTGACGAGCTGCCAAAGCCCTCAGGCCATGTCCTTTCCCTGGCCTGTAGCTCATACCCTCTAGGGTGCAGGGTCTCCATTCCCTGAAACCACAGCCATTAGGGATCCCAAGTCCAGCTGGAGATATGGGATGCACGCTGGGGCTACAACCTCCTTGGGACCCATCAGGTTCAAACCATGGTACCCACAGTGCAAGTGGGGCAACAGGTAGAATGGTGGTTGGAGCCCAAATTCCGGAGTCAGAACACCTGGCCTGCACCTTATTTCCCATTCCCAGGCGGCTTTGGCAGAGCTAGGTAAGCAGGCTGTACACCACCCAGCCTGGAAGGGCAGAACCTCAGTGCCCAAGTCCTGCTGCTCCTCCACCCCCTTTTGCCTGAACTGCCTTCTCCTGTCTCCACAGGTTCTCTTCAAGCATGGCTTTGGCCCCATCACCACTGACATCCGGGAGGGCCAGACCTTCTACTATGCAGAGGACTACCACCAGCAGTACCTCAGCAAGAACCCTGATGGCTACTGTGGCCTCGGGGGCACTGGAGTGTCCTGCCCGCTGGGCATTAAGAAATGAGTTCTCCACACAGGCTGAGCCCATCAGGCTCCAGCAAACAAACAAAGAAACAAAATGCTTTCGCCAGCCTGGGCAATGCTTCTGTGATCCATGTTGGGGGTTTCTGAGTGCACAATGTATGAAGGCATTTATGAAAAATCTAGTTTCTTGAGATCCAATTTACAGTCAGTGCAATGGAAAGCTAGTGCAATGTCGCTTGTCATCTAATTAGAGGCTGTGAAATTATCTGGGTCATTTGGGGTCTACATGAAGGTGATGAACACTCTGTGTATACTCTGCTTGGTGTCTGGGTGCCTGCCGTGAAAAGTTAAAGGATGGTTATGGAGAGATTACGGCACAGCATGGTGGGGTGTTGGAAATCTCACTCCCTACCCTACCTCGTGAGCCCTCCTGCCCTCCAGTGCCTTATACCTGCCCACGTCTGTCCCCTCGCTAAATCATTCCCACAGTGCTTTGCTTGGCTGATTGTGATGTGTGAAAGGGCCTTCCTCTCTGCCTCCAGTCCTCTTTGCACACCGAGAAGATGCGAATTAGCTTAATGGATTCTCACACTTGGCATGCACCTATGGAAAATGTGTGTTTGAATAAAAATCTGCAATCCAATAACGCAGAGTGCCTGGTGTTTCCTCTGTCTTTTCCTTAGATAGGTAGGGTATGCTATAAAGTATGCAGATGCTCTAAAGTAAATGTAAAAATTCCAGAAGACCTTGGAAGGGCAAAAACCTCACAGTCACATGCCCCTTCCGAAGAGATTGTGATTGAGGTTTTTTTTTTTTTCTTTAAATACGCACGCCTCCAGCTCCTTGAAGCCTCATTGATAATAGTTGTTTCCTGGGTCCGACTGCAGGCGTCACATCAGGAAAACCCTATTTAGAGAGCAGTCATCTGCAACCCCTGCCCTTAAGAACCTTTCTGCTCAAGACAGTGGCCAGGGGACAACAGCAGTAAACCTGTAAACAGATGGATAAGTGAGATGGTTTCGGGTTCTGGTGAGATGCAGGTGCTGGGAAGAGCTAGCTGTTTGCACAACAGTTAAGATGCCACTTGGGATTCCTGCATGCCCTATTGGGGTGCCTGGGTTCAAGTTCCAGCTCTGCTTCCATTTCCTGCTCCTTGCTAGTGCACACCCTGGGAGGCAGGAGATGGGGGCTGTCAGTGCTTCAGTCCCTGCCATCCATGTGACGCAGCCAGATTGAGACGGGCTCCCTGACTTTGGCCTACCCCAGCTCTGCTATAGAAGGCACTTGAAGAGTGAGCCATGAGATACTAGGTCTCATTTTGTCTGTGTCTGTCACTGTCTTTCAAAGTAACAAAAATGAAGACATTTTGAGAGAAGATGAATAGGATGAGATGATGGGTCATGGAGGGCATGCAGGGCTATTTAGTTAGTCAAGAAAGTTGGTAACATTTGAGAACAGAATGATCTAAATGATGCAGTCTCCATCAACGGGAGGCAGCACAAATAGAACATAGCAGCAGGAGGAGCTGTCCCCGATGCCTGGCAGCATCCCCAGGTCGCTCACTTTGATTGCTTAAAGGAGAAGCTTTCTAAACCAAAGCATCTTAAGGCCAGGGAGAACCGTGAGATAAAGCTGGTAGGGCCAGAGCAGGATGCTTTGAGGAAGGATATTGGAGAAGGAGCTCAGAGTGGTGTGTGGACCCAGATCCTTAGTGTCTCCTAAGAATGTGGCAGTGGGTTTACTTGGTTTATGCTCTAGTTAATCAGGCCCACGCTGATGAGTTTTAAACACGTTTGCTCTGCCATTTCACCATAGGAGTTGGATGGCTGGTCATGATATTTACTCAGGAGGGAGCAGATCCGCAGTAGGAATGAGTAAATGAATCATCAGTGATGGCCACACCAAAGCTTAAGTTCCTCTAGATGTGGTCGTGGATGGGTGGAATAAGGCAGCTTGCCCTAGTGGTCTGGAGCTTGGAAGGGGTATCAGAAAGAGAACATTAAAAAAGACCAGAAGGTGGATGACAACTGGGCTGTGACACCAGCTGAGGTCAGGTAGGGAGGAAAAGGAGAGGAGTCCAAGTGCTGGACACTGGGGTGTTCCAGCACCCTAGATAGGCTAAGAAGGGAGCAAGTGAGTATGCAAAATGTTGTCCCAGGGAAAAGGAGGCCCAGACTACATTATGAATCCAAGACAAAGCTTAGAGAAGCTTCTTCATCCAGAGAAAACCAGAATAACAAATGATGAGGAAACAAGATCCTTTTGGAGATGGATTTTAACACAATCTCAAGACATGTGTTCTCGAATCTTAATCTTGCCCTAAAGGAGCCAGGGTTATTTGCCAAGGCAACTCTTCCCTACGAAAATGGGAAAGATTCAGGCCTTCTAGGAATTATTACAAGTGTTTCCTAAACCGATATGAGCCCCGGGAGATCTGAAATACCTCCATAATCCTCTGAGCTGACTTGGATGGGGTGGGGGTTCGTAAAGCAGGAGTTCTGTTCCAGGTGTGTCTTGGTGTATCCGGTGAGTCTGAAGCACAGCTGGAAGCTATTGCCCTCCTCCCATGATGCATGGTAGGTGTTATCCTTGTTTCTAGCTCCTGTAAACATGTTGCTCTGACATCTCCCCTACCTGCTTTACACTGGATCTGCCTTGCTTTGGATGATCCAGTGATATGCTGAGCCACCTTGCCTTGGCCCCTGCCTCTTTTCTCATCCCTGTTTCTCTGTAGAAGGAATCTTTCTCATAAGGGTGTGCTGTTTCTAATACAAACCGAGTAATCCAGAGTTTAAACCCCAACCACTTTCTTTATTGGACTCACATGTTCCTGGCCATGACTGTCCTGTTCTGATCACTCCAGGTACCAGACAATGAGGGTGGTCCCTGTATCCCAGTGCCTGCCCATCCCTGTTCACCTCCCTCCCATATCCTGTTGTTTCCTGCAGAAATCACAATAAAATCTTTCCCACCATCCTTTGCTCTACTTCTGCCTCTTGACCTGCCAGGTGTGTTCCTCTGTGTCCTCTACGCAAAGCCACAGCATCCCCCTTCTCAAGATTTTGAGATAACTCACTATCTTTTTGTGGCAGTCCTGTCATGGTGTGTAGAACTCTCTATATTCCCCCAAAATATCAAAATATAAAGATAATAGATACTCCGAATATTGACAAAAAGCTTGTTTTTTTCCTTGATCCCAGATTTTACCACTCAGCATAGTAAATGAAAAGCAATACCTTATTTTGGGGGATTTTTACCTGCTGATGCACCCAACAGTGAATCCCAGTGATGCATGGGTGGGAATTGGTGCATAACCTCATTGAGTTCCTCCCTTTCTTTGGCAGATAAAATACAAATGCCCTCTCCCAGTTTTGTGTTGGGCATGGGTTTCGGTACCATGTCCTTAATGTCTTCTTGGAAGTCATGTAAAATATTGAACTGGGAAGTCCACTTGTAGAGACATGTCACTTGTTTAAGGTCTCAGAGCATCTATTAGAATTGACGTGACTTGTCATTCTGCTGCCATCTCCTCAACCCTCCTCACCCCTTCCAGCCTGCAACAGAAATCACTGGTAAGTTGTCATGTCCTTTTATGATGTTGGTTTTGTATTTTAAGATTTCTTTATATGAAAGGCAGAATATCAGAGAGAGGGTGAGACAGAGAGGTCTTCCATCTCCATAATAATGAAAGGTGGGGCTAGCCCAGGTGGAAGCCAAAAGCCTAGAATTCCATCTAGGTCTCCCACATGGGTACAGGGACCCAAGCATGTAGATTATTTGCTGCTGTTTACCAGGTTTATTAATAGGAAGGTGGATTGGAAGTGGAGTAGCCAGGTCTCAAACCAGCACTCATAACAGGTCCCAACATAGCAGAGAGAGAGGCAAAAAGGGCCACAATGCTGTCCTGTTACATTCTTTTTTGGGGGGCCCAAATACACGCTTAGATTTCCTCTACATTAAGGACGATGGATGGCCACAGCCAGCCAGTGTGACTGTTTTTTCCAGGCTAAACCTGGGTTTTCCTCTCAGGTAGGCACTGCATGGCTAACTAATGCCATGGATGCAATGCCCCCAGTTAACAGTGAGTTCCCTTAGGAGACCAATCATTGCAAACAGCATGCCATTGCAGTAGCTGCTGCAAGGCAGGTGTTCTGCTTAAAACCTAGAAATACTACAGATGCTGATGAAGAGAGCAACTAATGTGGAGTCATAATGACCTGAGTGAAAGTGTCAAATCATGGCCTTGTATGGGGGCAGTGCAGAGTGTCTGGGTTAACAGCTGGAAGTGGGCAGCATCTCCTAGTAGTCATCATTGAAACCGTATAATTTGACAGATTCCCAGATGGAGCTGCCTTTCTGGGAAGCAACCCAAGAGCAAAACCCAAGCCTTGGGTTTGACCACAATGGATCAACAAGAGAAAGAAAAGGAGCAGGTGGCCCCAGGGAGGAAAGCAATTGGAGAGGCCGTGTTGGGTGGTGTTATTTGGCAGGGCATTGAGTTGGGACACCTCAGACAACTTCACCAGAGTTTCTGTATCCCTCAAAAGGAATTTGTGCTACCTGCCTTATGCATGTGAATGTTTTGTATAAAGGGCAGTGCTTGGCAAGTGTTTGTTATTAGAGAAACAGGCAGATTCTGAGTGAAGGAAACCCTACTATGGAGAAGGGCAGTGGAGAATTAGAATGCTCAGACTGGGAGAAATTCTTGGGGCCCTATCATAGAACTTCCCCATGGCAAGAAATTATGACATCAACAAAGATGTCAGACATTAAAGTTAAGGACACCATGGACAGAGACTCACCCAAGACTCTCACAGCCCAAAGGAGAGGGTAGGGGAATAGTCCTGGGAGAGGTGGAGAGGGCTGAAATGGTGCTGAGGCTCAAAGCCAGTTCTGGCACACGATGTGAGATGAGAGTGACCTGGAATTTGGTCAGGATCCTTGTCCTGACTGTATGGTTTCAGAGTCATCAGCCTTCTTTATCCCAGCTCAGCCAGTAAATCAAGATGCAGAACTCCATGTGAGGGTGCAGAAAGAGAAGGGGATGAAGGGACAAGGGCCACTGTGGGTGTCATCTAACATTCTTAGAAGGCTTCTGTTTTCATGTAACAGAGTGTGTCAGAGCCTCATCCATTTCTGTAAAGACACCAGACCAGCACTTGCCCTTATCTCTGTCCCAGTTGGAATTCATGACCCTGGAATTGAGTCTGTGTCATCGTGTGCTCAAATATCCTAGCTGGCTTGAAAGAAAAAAGAATTAGGGCACAGCTCAAATACAAAAGTGGAAAAAGAAATCTACAGGGAGAACTTTCTGTTTATTAACTGTATCCTGTCCCCAATAGCTCAAGGCTCCTCCCACGTTCTATGTTTATGTGTTACATTTCTGTCTCTTGCAGCTGCTGTCACCTGACTGACAATCCCCAAACTAGGTCGGATAGAGCGGGAAGTGGATTGACTCAGTCCCTGCAGGCTCCCCTGTGTCATTCATTCCTCGCTTCTTCCCTGACCTGCTTTCCATGCAATCACAGAGCGGTGCCTGTTCCTTAAAGCCAATGGGGCTCAGCAAAGCCTGGATCATCTCCAGGACTCTCCATTTGTAGATTATTTTGAAGCTAGAAGGAAAGGGGACAGTAGGTCTTGACT